GATTGTTACGGTTAGGTTGTTTACTTTGGACAAACACTTTTAACTCAACCTCGAGTGCAGGGTGATGTCTATCAAGGTTTAAAAGCGGAATAGCAGTACCGACAGACACGTTTAGAGAATTGGAAAGGACGAGATCTAAAATCCTTAGATTCTGATTTTTAATACTATTATATTGTTTTAAGCTACCAAGAGACATTGTTTCAAGAAGGGCGTCTGAGTTGTATTTCGATTTACTTGAGATTGCGACCATAGGATTATCAGGTATCAAGTAACTAGCAGTAGGACAGAAATTCCATCCCAACTCCGGTATATTGAAATCACCCATAAGCACTACATCGTGACTTGTATCAAAACTCAGAAGAACATTTTTTAAGTTGTTATGATAAAGTTTCACCTCCTCGTGAGTTAAATACCCCGGTAAGTAACAGGCAGAGATGTGAATTGTGGGTTCAGTGGGACGGGTAGGGGAGATACTGATCCAGACATCTTCAATGTCGCTTTCCCAGGCTGGTCGCCTGACAGCAGTAAAACATTTTTTTATTGCAACAAGGACGCCGCCGCCTTCGGTTTTTTTATTAGTAGTAGTGATTCTATCCCTACGATAAATGTTGTAACGATTGTCCAAGATTTCGGAGTCCAAGACTCCGCTATTAAGATTAGTCTCAGTTAGACAAATAACGTCGTAGTTGCAATTTAGCGAATTCAAATGAAGTTTATCTAATCTTGATCGGATACGATTTACATTTTGATAGTAAATTAACATAATGAGATGGTGGGTAAATAAAGTAACATCTTAAGAAATGTACGGGGAAAAAGGAAGCGAAATGATTACATTAATTTGCTTAGACTAGTGCTGTTCTTAACTAAGATTGCTGGAGAGGTATCGTCTTTCCTGATGTAGATATTGCCATATTTAATCCAAACATATTTATAATTTTTATCTTTAGCTGTCTTTCTGGTTTCAGCGTGAAGACTTTTTAAGTACGGCGGTAAATGTTCCATGATGTAGATAGCTTGCTTGTTGCCTGGTATGCCCAGGTTTGTAGTGTTCAGAGGATCACTTCTATTGTTTTTATTGTATCTCTTAAATGCGGATATAAATGTGTCACGCTGTCTTTCTGTTGATAGTGTTACTAGGATATTCCGGGGTCGAGTAGATTGTGGGTTAAGTTTAGCCACGCGGCGTACGCATCGGATGTTTGCTTCGTCAACAGGAGCTTGTATAACAGAGATAATTTGCTTTACAGTGGAGAGGATGTTCTCGTTGCGATTATCTGGAACTAATTGGATCTCGACATTAAGACTTCGTGAAGATTTTTCCAACGCATCTAGTCTTCTTTGGGCGTCAGTGAGTTCAGTCTGAAGGTTATTCTTTTGTTTTTGGAGTTCTTGGATTGTATTATTCGATGCCTCTAGTTTAACGTTAAAATCAGTTTGCTGCAGAGCAAGAAAGTCCGTTGTTCGTGTAAAGTCGTCTTTAAGGTCCTCGATTTGTTTTTTTATTAGAGAGGTGAAACTGTCCATTAAAGTTGACTTCATACTTTCAAATTTTACGTCCAGTAAGCTACTTATCTGTTGCAATGTTACCGCATTGCCCGGCGGCGATGTATCGGAGGAAGAAAGCGAGCTGTTTTGCGGCTGTTGTAAGTGACGTTCCACCATCCGCACATCGTCGCTCGGTGGAGTCGCGGGCGGCGGGGAGGCACTTGGCACCCACGCAATGCTTGTAGCCTTGTCACCCTTGCGTTTGGTTATGTTGACGCACAGAGCACATTTCCATGACCGTTTTAGGTCACGTGCGTTTTTGATGTAAAAAGATGCGGTTAAGTCGACGCATTGGTAGTGAAATCCCTTTTTACAGAGAGAACAAACAACCACTTCATCTTTTTTTACAGAGTGGGTACATCGGTCACAAATCATTATTGCAATAGCATCGATGCCACAGAGCAGATAAGTTGAGTTTAATCTTCTATACAAAAAATAACAGTACACCAATGGTGCGTTTTGCGTACTGTTCTGCAAGGTGCAATTAAACTATTCTATGACACTTGAGCGATATTAATACACCGTCCAGTACTTTACGTAAATACCTTATGCATTTGATTATAATTGGCGATAAACAAGGCAATATGTAATAAAATATGTCACTTTCACATGAGTTAAACTAAATAGTACGTATCACAACTTTGTAACTTAATTTTGTGCACTTAATCACTTTTTAAACACAGTTTAACACGGAGCGCAGTGTACGCGCGACCACGGCGCCGCAATTATTCTTTTAATAAAATATATCTATACATATAATAAAATTGGAGTGTCTGTAATATCAAAAGAAAATTCCAGATTTCGGAAAGATAATGCGTTGCTAATAACGAAAATCACATATAATTTATTTTGTCTGTCTGTCCGCAAGACGCGTTTGTTCCGGGTAATCGCCGAAACGGCTGGGCCGATTTCGAGCGGACTTTCACTGAAGGGTAGCTGACATAGACGGGCATATTATAGGCAACTTTTTTATCTTAATATTGCGTGGAAGTCGCCGGCAACAGCTATATAGCAAAATAATCGAGGACTTATATCTAGGACATTCATCGTTGTCTAATCTTCTAGGTTATGTAACGCTAAATAGCAAACGGTAATATTATCTTTTCTCATTCCTTGTATTCGTAGATTTCCTTTTGAAGCTAGTCCCGAGACTAGCGAAGTGTGCCGTCAGCAAAAAGTAGCAAAAGTGAACGGATCCCGAGGCACAAATTGCGAGATGCGCTAGCGATCCTTAAAACACTCGTCGGGCTGTTGCGAGCCAAAAAACATTTTTCACGAGCTCTCCCCGCTAATAGCTCGAACGGTGCCCGCTCGTTTTATTTTTGCCTATTTTTAGATCCCCATCTCGGCAGCAGTCTTCGCGGTNTTTCAAAATAAACGGGCTTCCTTTGCCGGGTCCGCAGTTTGCTGGGGCCGGTATTTTTAAAGCGGACATCGGCCCCCTGCCGCACCCCCCTCGGCCCCTGTGCCTCGCCCGCGAGCCTCCCAACTCCCACACAGTAATACCATAACGGGTGCGAACTATGACGAGATTATCTACCAACACATGTAGGAGTACAGCCCTATGTACTCCGTACATACAGTACATAAGCGATGACTTGTGTATATAACGGCATTGATTCAGCCGGACGCGGCCGTCATCGGGCTGCGAGCTGCGAGCTACGACCTGACGACAATTACAGAGTATTAAGTAAAAAACCACACCCGCTGTTAATCAAAGAGGATCCGATGATTACGTTTTACGCAGAATGCTTAGGCATCGTGAAAAGCCGACTTTAAAACTGCATGACAAACGTTTTATAAAATTTCAATATCATTCTCTTATTTTCCGGCTGAATACTAAAACGATATAACGATAAAGCTACGTTGTGATTCCAAATTACATTAAGTTTTTGATGTTAGGCGGCAGTTACGTAGCAAAGAGTTTTCGTTTCAATTTTCGGCCGTTAATCACTTAATAAATCTTTTGGCAATTTGAATAACATATTGAAAATAATGTTTTATTTATTTAAACTATTTGTATTTATCTTTTAATTGGTTATAACTTTTATTGTTAATTATTAATCTGTTTTTAATAAATTTCAATTTCAATTTTAAACTACTAGAAATTAAAACTGTAACCAAATTAATTAAAAGCATCATTACATGTGTTATAAAAATAAAATACAAGAAACTATTTTCTCTATAAACATTTTCGATTTTTTTTTATATCCCAAACTTAAATAACCTAACCTATAAACTTCCAAACTAACGTCCAAGCATTATTTAATGCATGTAACGGTTTACAATTTGACATATGTAAGATTTTGACGACAAATTACAGTTTCAAATTACGATCTGCATAACCATCAAGAATTCAGGAAGATGGTGTTCAAAATTAATAAATAATTGTAAGTTAAGGGTAGGTTAGGGGGGAGCAGAGGGCGCACTAAGCACCAGCCTGGCGCGGCACGTTGGCATTTGTTAAGGTGAGTACACACTGGTTAGTAGTAAAGTCACTAGGTAACTAAATATTATTTAATCTTGGATGCAATCGTCTATAAACTGGTTTTAATATTTTGGTAACGTATAGTATTTTTGTATAACACTATACAATTGAAATATTCAAAGCTATATTTTTTTTTTAATTATCTTGTCAATACGCTACTATTTAGTCGTATTTACGAAAAAAACAACAATTAAAATCCATAGTTAAAATATTTGTATGAAAGACTAGCTGTTGCATTCGATTTCATCTACATAAAAGTTGATACAATAAATTGTCGATGTTACTCACAAATTAATCACTTTTCTAATAGTGAAAGAGTTTTTAAATCGATCAAGTAGTTTTAGAGTTATTTTAATACATTCAAAAATACAAAAATACAAATCTTTCCTCTTTATAATATTAGTAGAGATATAGTTAAATTAAATGGTACCATTACTATAGTTATAAAGAAATAACCGATTATACTCTTAAATGTAATATTTAAGAGTCAGCCGAAAAACTACTGCCATTTCTACTAAAATATGCCGACTTCTGTAAAGTGAATACGATCCCTTACAGGGAGAAGAGGGCGACCTCGAAAAACCATAGCGGGGTCGTGTCTGAAAGGCATTGCGAATTTCCACAAAGCTGAGCGTAGTTAGAACGGGAGCGGGAGACGTGGTTACCGTCTACCGAGCGCTTTGAAGTGTGATAAACTCGCGTAGGCAAGCTTAAGGGTACATACGCCGTTCAGGCTATACCACGCGGGAAATGATCCCATACATGTTATATACAACTGGCTCTCGCCACCGACTACGAACGTGTGGAATTAGAAACATAAGTGTGTTCTTTCAGAGTACCTCTACGTGTATGCCAAATTTTATCAAAATCCGTTCAGAAATTTAGGCTACAAACTCTTACAAACTTCCATCCAAATTCGCATTTATAATACACACGCACAGAAAACCGTCACCATAAGAGCTATAAAGATATTTGGTTGCTAAAACCAGTTTTTAACCTGACTAGCAATAATTAAATTCTTACCAAAATGGGTAGAAATATAGTCCTGGATTTTATATTATTAGCGTGCCCAGTGTGTACACACCCTAAGGAAAAGCGTCGCTCAGAAGCACGTATTTACGCGCGCAAACGACGTACCTGTCAAATATTTGCGCGGGAAAGCGGACGGACGCTCACGCAGCGAAGTTTTTTTTTATTACAGATTAAAAATCAAGCCACGCGGTAATACGCTTTGCAATATCGCTGAGACTAATTTAACGGTATATAATCTGAGCCTTTTTTTTTCATAAAGTGTTAAATGTAACTAGCCAGTTCGTTTATTACTTTTATATTGTCAGGTTTTACGCTCGATATCAATTAAGCTTCGCACTATATATGCTTTCGTAGTTCTATGAAGTTATTAACAAAATATTAAAAAAAGATAACTGTCGTTAGTGTCAAAAGTGACGTGATTTTTTTATATAAGCAATTTTATTGACATAATTAACTTGACCCAATTCCACGCAAACTCTCAGCATAAACCAGGAGAACATAACTAGGTATATACTTACGTTAATGCGATAAAACTAGCCCTTCGCGTTATAGTTACGATGCTATAAACAGGCTCTCCCTTAAATATGGATACGCGGTGCGTGCGACGCTCCGCTCATGCTCCCCTGGTAGATTTATAAATCCGCTTGAATTACGCCTCCATTCCGTTATATATTTGCGTCTGTGTAGAGAATTATTTAGAGCTATTTTAGGTCGGATTTTCACTGTACCAAATTGTTAAAACTACATATTTATATAGCATTTCCCCGCGACTCCGTCTGTGCGAAATTAATAAATAATATAAAACATAGGCTATATTACACACTATCAACGTAGCTTTTTAATGGTGAAAGAATTTTAGTTATCTGCCCAGTACTTTTTGAGTTATTTCATTACAATCAAACAAAGTTTTTGTCTTTATAATATTAGTATACTAATCATCACCTCCTTATCCTACTCCCGTAGGATAAGGAGGTGATGATAGGAGATATGATAATTCTTAAAACTTTTTAATATGCCTTTGTAACTATATACCTTTGTATTATACTTTTATCAGCCTTGTAGACTCAACTAAAATAGTTAAACATTTCGTTCCCACGGGAACTTTGTAACTTCGAATATTCCGAGTTGACAATATTCGTGGGAAATGAAAGATGTCGGTTGAACCGACTCCGCTTTCTGCGTACTCGTACGTAATTGCAAAACTGAAAACTTCTGCTATTACATAAGGAATCTACGACTTAATTGCCTACGTCAAACGTGACGTCATTGTTGACAGACGCTAATGTACCGAGTTTTCACTATTGGGGACAAATTGATGAGTCGTGTAAAAGGTCCATTTTTGGCATGAGCACAATCTCGACCCAAAGCATTTGAAAAGTACGGGTTTATAACGAGATACTATTTTTTATTATTTGGGATATTAAGATATTTTTTTTTTAAACTATGATGTACCAGGCAAGCATAAGTATCGATAGTTACGACTTGGATAATTTTCTTACTAAATATACGTAGACTTATGTAGCTGTAGAAGTGGCCACAGGGAACGAACCCGCATCCGGAACGAGTTAAAACTGAACGCGGCCCTCCCGCGGACATAGCTGTCTACTCAGACTAAATTGTTAACTCTTCACTTATGTACTCCTGGTAATTTTGGCAGTATTATTATTTTTTAATTTGACTTCTTCTTAGTTTTCCCTAAGTTGATTTTGTTTTTTTGTTCTTTTTTGTTGACTTATTCTAAAGGTAAGTTTCCACTGTTATAAAAAAATTACTGCAAGTACTTATAAACATTTATAAAAACATAATGTCGACTCTATCCGTCTAAAGTCGGTAAAAAAAATGAAATGATTGATTCAAATTTTTTGAAACAAAATCGTATTTATATAAAATTCTCATTGCGAGTATCAAAGTATCTTAACCAAGATATTTTCCAGCTAAATTTTCGTTCACTCTTCCAATTTTGTGGTTGACCATGGCCCGACCTCTCCAGGGATCGAGGTTAGCTTCTTGGAAAATGGTCTATCTGACAGACTGACCAAGCCGCTATCTAGATACGAAAGTTATTTAAGTTTCGGTTACTTCTAGTTGCTTATTAATGGACTAGATTCAAGATAAATAAATGATACCAGACTGTACGGTATAACCTTGAATTTTGAACGAACGTTGAACAAAAACATAGATTTCCTTTCCTAAAGTTTTTAAGAAT